AAGACCTAAATCGGATTTGTGCCTGGGCAAGTGAAAATGGATTAAGGTTAAACGCTGCTAAAACCCAAGCCATTGTCATCGGTTCCAAACCCCTTCTCAGATCAAATACCAACATTCCTCTCCTGTACCTGAATGACCAACCCATCACCTTCAACACTTCAGTTAAAAACTTAGGTGTTATCATAGATCAAACCCTCTCCTGGAATCACCATATTTCCCTCATATCCCGACGTTCAATTTCCATCCTGAAACTCTTCCATAGCTTCCGCCATCTTCTACCCATATCCACACGTAGACTCCTAGTATCCGCCCTTATCTTCCCCCACATTGACTACGGCTGCGTAGTGTACGGTGGCCTCTCATCGGAACTTGGAGTCAGACTGAAAAGAATAATGAATGGCATAGTACGATTTGCCAATGGGACCCCGAGACGTTCTCATGTTTCCCACTAGTACGCCGAGTCAGGGTGGCTCTTCCCCTCCTTCAGAAGACAGTACTTCCTAGGTACATTCCTTTACCAAATAATCTATAATCATCGTCCGTCCTACGCATTTAATCTCCTTCAATTCAAGTCATCTATCCACTCCCTCTCCACAAGATCTCGTCCTTCCGACCTTTATACCCCTTGCCACAAATCGGCCTCATTTCAACAGTCCTTTATTGTCCGATCCACCACATTTTGGAATTCCATCCCACTTAAAATCCGCCATGCACCATCCTTATCCACATTTAAAACCCTCCTTTTCCAATTCCTCCTTACAATTCAATCAGACGCTGGGTAACCTATTATTGTATTATTATACTATTGTTGTATTGTATATATATGTATATATATATATATATATATATATATTAGTATATGTATATTGTATATATACTATTGTATTATTGTGTGTATATATTATGTATGTACGATTATACTATTATTGTATTTCGATTATACTATTATGTACTTCGAACATACTACTATTACTATAACATCTTTATTATTATTTGTTCATTTATAATTTCATAGCGTATTGTGTATAGCAACTATTTTGTAGTATTAGGACCTTATTTCTCATATTAAGGCTTCCTATATCTATACAGTTATGTAAATACTTCTTTTATCCCTTATTTTTTAGTTGTTTTTTTTTTTGTTTGTTTTTTGTAATATACATTTTGGCCAGATGTAATGTTAATTTTATGTACAATATTGTTATTCTCAAGGGACGTAGTCCCAGAATAAAGTTGATTCTTCTATTCTATTCTATATAGCTTGTTCTACATTAGTTTCTAGTGGTTTGGATATTGAGGGATCCACTATGTTTGCAGTCAATGAGGGATCCGCAATGTGAAGAGAGCGGATCTATCTCTAATCCTGATCCAGAGGTTGCTTGTTTGACAGATTTTATGCTTTTCAGATTAATATGTTTTTTTAATGTAGCGCATCCTTTGTAGTTGACAGAATGAGCACCTTCGCAGGTAGCACAAGCGGCGGGAGTTTCTCTTTTTTGTTTTTGTGCAATTTGCTGTGAGTTGTGGTCCAGCACACTTCACGCACTTGGCTGGAAGACTAGAGTACTCTTTTGTGTGACCACAGGCTTGGCATTGTGGTGGCTCCTTTCCCAAGTATGGTTCTCCTCTTTTAATTCTTGTACATATACAAGTAAATTCTTTAGTATACTTAGAATTCCAGCTTGAAAATCTTTTGTTTTTTTTCCGATTTGTTCCGAATCTATAAAAAAATATTGGTAGCGGTATTTTTGTTTTAGATTGCTTTGAGTTTGTAATATTTTTCACAATGTACCCTAGTTCTTCCAGTTCAAATTTGATGTCATGGATTTCTGTAGTGAGGTGAAGGTTTCGTATGAAGATGCGAAATGGTTTTTCATTTTGTAGCTAGTAAGTTTAGAATGTGGCGTTTTGTGTTTCTAGTAGTTTTATGATTTTTCTGTAACCATCTGAAGTAGACGGAAATATTCTTGTCTGATTAGTATCGAAAAAACAGTAAAATCTGCGAGATCCGACTTCTGCTGAGAAATTTTGGAATAATTCTTTGAAGTTGTTAAATCAATGGGAGGAGGTCTTGGAGTGATAGAAGTTAATGATTTGTCTTGATAGCTGGACATGATAGGAGTGGGTTTAGGTGTAATATCGTTGGATTAGATAACATTTGTTTTTTTTAGAGTTCTTTCGATGAAGTGACATTGTTTGTTGGGTTTTATAATTTTTACTTTCCTACCTATAATAGGTAAGGAAAGTATTGCAATCGGGTCAAATTCCCGATATGCGGGTTTCAACGGACCTATACGTTTCAGAACCCTGAGTCCGAAAAACACATTTTTAGCCATTGGTCTGTCTGTGCCAAGATTTACTCGGGAATGGGAACTAGTTAAGGAAAGTATTGCGATCTATTTTCTCGGGGATTAGTGAGCCGATTTTGTTGCTTCCTTTTTATTTTGTAGGGTTTTGACTACTGATGCCTGTGACAGAAATTTGGTGCTCCATGCGCAATAAATGAAAAACATGTTTTTCTATAGACTGTAGCGCGAAAACGGCTCAAACGATTTTGATGAAACTTTCCTATAATGTTCTAATAATTGTCCTTTCAACTTTCGTATATAGACTAAATTTCAGAAAAAAAAGTTATAAAGAAAAGAAAAATGTTATGGGGCCTAACTCCATAAGTATATATTATACGATAAAATTTATAATAAAACTTTTGAAAGATAAAATAAATGAAAAAATTGCGATCTGGACAAATTGCCGATACGCCGTTTTCGACGGATCTATACGTTTCAGAGCCTCCTTAACAGTAGGAGAACACCGTTTCCCTGTTGGTTTCATTTGAAAGATAATGGAATTCTCTACGAAACTATATAAAAATCGTTCATTTTGGAAAACTATTAACGAAGTTACAGGTATTCATTTTCCAATGTAAGATTATGGGTTCATATCCTGTTGTCAGAAAGGAGTGAATGAAAGAAAAAAGATGACTAAGAGAAAGTAAGAAAATCTGTTGCCCACATCACACAAGCTTCACTATTTTCTCTACTTTTGACAGAAATTATTGTTTGACAAAATTAAGCTATGCCAAAAAGTTATTGATCAGCAATATTAGAGGGTATTGAAATTTTTACACTGATCTACCTTAAGCCAGTTTACATTCCTTTAGTTTATCATATAAATCGTACTCAAATCTTTTCTTTGATAAATTTTCAGGAAAATAAATCTAATTCAATTTTTTTTGTTTTTTCATGAACATATGTAAAAATATAAAAACTTTTCTGAAATAGATAGGAAAGTCATATGAGTGGACACACCATATTTTTTTTTTCTACAATTACTTGACCTGGCTTTGTCTTTTGATAATGAACTATTGCAATGAATGTTTATTCTGCGTAATAAAAGTTTCAATAACAAAAGTTTTTAGAATTGACTTACACAAGCCCCAACAACCCCTGCCCCCTCACCCAATTTTGTGAAATTAAATTTGGATCTCTTCTCCCCTCCCCCTCCCATAATACAAAATCCATCTCAAAAAGATTTTCAAATTTATACACTCGTCAACGACAGTTACATCAGCTAGTCTATTTATAAGCCTTAGCCTAGCCAGCTAGTCGAATAGGTGAATGCCCAAAGTGGCCAGCTACTAATAATCCTGTTCACAAGGCACATAGTCCGGGAGCCCGTGGCAAAAAATGTGCCTTATTTCATACTAAGGTTTGTTCTTATAAATTGACCATGTCCACAGGTCTGATGAAAAAAATAAACATCTGCCAACATAGAGCCGCTGGAATACAAAATGTTGGACAGTAGAAGATAGATAGATACTCTATATAGGTAGAAAACTTATACATGAAGACGGCTTATAGATATAGAAAATTACCAACCCCTTAAATTTATATTATGTACTATTTTAAGACATGAAATAATAGTCAGTTACTCAATACCCGTGAATTTTGAAAATTAGGATTTACGATCCAAAAAGTGCACTTTTTTTCTCTTTTTCGATTTTCACTTATAGTAGTGAAACTATGGATTCCATCAATAATAATTTTAGTGGAAAATTACGCAGACAAAATGGTAATATTCACTTTTTCGCTATCTTCAATATCTTCAGAGATATCTGCTCTCCTAATAAATTAACTTTGAAAAAAAATTGTTTTTTCCTCGTATTTCTATCACATTACAGCTGGATGAAGTACTGCTGAAGCCCATCCCAAGATGGTAAAATATAATTGTTCTATGAAAAAAATTATCTCTGAAAGTATTATTATTCGTTTAATTACAGTTAAAAGGACTTAAAGAATCACCTAAAGACCATTTCATATAGGTAGTTAGTTTCTTTCTTTCTTCCGAAGTAATTATCCTAATATATTTAGACAAAAAAAAAAAATCTTTCGGGCTAAAGCTCTCCCAAAATTAAATCCTGGATCTATTAGTGCCCCCTTCTAGGTCAGTGGCGTATCCCTTGTTTGAATTTAACATTAATCCGACCAGGTCCCCAAAAAAGTCTTGAAATGTTAGCATGATTCTGATTGTATTTATAGATGAAATAGGTTATAGAAAATGTTTTTAGTTGTTTCCCACTATTGGATTTTCCCCAGAAAACCACATTCTAAAATATAAAACAGTTCTCAGTACTTTGGAGCCTACATTCATTATTGGGAATTCATAACTAACTACTTTTACTTTACTTAGAATCAATTTCATTTCATCATTTGAAGTATAGTCGGTAAAACCTAGAAATGTAATTAACATCTTGTCAAGTATTAATTTACATAAAAATTAGTGTGTAATTTTATTAATTAAAAAATCATTTACACCTAAAATAAGTTCAATTAATTGAAATATCCATAATATATGCCTTTAGATGCTAAATGTGCACAAAAGTCAAACATGCAACATAAAACGTTGGCAAATAATTTAGAATGAATTGTTTCATAAAGATACTGACTTAGATTTCTTATTATGTATTTAAATATGTATTTACATACATAAATTATGTATTTACATACACTCCGGGCCTTAGTTATGACCAATTTCTGAGCATAGATTTAAAAACTGCATTGCAAAAGTGCAAAAAATGACTAACTGGCAGAATTGAACTATAATGTAATGTTACTATAAAAAATTCTTAATTTTTAAGACATGATATGGTATTTCGTCAAAATTATTTTAATTTTTATAAAATTAAAGAGTGCAAAATAGTATTTATTTTGGAAATGGCTCTATTAATATAGAAAAATTAACTATTTACATAATGACTGACATAGGTTAAATTTATTTCTTAACATCTAAGTTTTTATTTTATGTCATCGTAAAGCAAACATTTTAACAGGATATAATCCCTTTGGAAAACGTGTTTGTGCACTCATAAGAATACAATCAAGCCCTGATTCTTTTAATAAATTGGAAAGGATTTCGAGAGGTCTAGTTATTGAAGAATCAACATCATCTTTCTCAATTTCACCACTAGATGTGACATTTTCTTTAACAACAATGATTCCATTTTTCTGCAAAGCATTTCTGAAAGAAAGAAAATCATCTAAATATAATACAAAAACCAAAATTATAGCAGAATTAAATATATTCAATTATTTCTTTTCAACTTACTTGCAATTTTTCAAAAAAATTGTTAGATCTTCATCTGTCAGATGACCTAATACCCATTGACACCAAATAATATCATATTTTATTTCTGGTACGAAGTTTTGTAGTCCTTAAAAAACGATCAATTTTATTAAAAAGGATCAATTATGAAAATGTTAATTATAGTAGTTAATTGATTGTACCGGTATAGAAAAATAAATGGATAACAGTCAAATCATTATATACCCAAAACACTTGTTTTTTTTCAAAATTAGCTTTAAAAGTCTGAAAGCAGTAAGTTCTTGAAAAAGTTAAAATGTGGTAAATCTTTTTGAGTACTCACATGAATTTTCAATTTTTAATCATTGGTGAAGATGAGATTAAAACAATAAAAATGCAAAAAGTCCCTGATGCATATTTGCAAAGACAATTAATGTTAAAGAAAAGTGGAGGGAATGGAGCTATGTCAGGGACTGTCAGCACCTAGCTCGTGCCATTGGATACCTTATAATTTTACCTTATAAGAGATTAGTCAACTAAAGAGAGTGAGGTTAAGTTCAAAGTGAAAGCTTATTCACAAAGTAACTTCAGCTAATTTTTCTACCAAAGGTATTATTGCTACATGGTAAACTCGGACAACCCTTGAATTTGAGGAACTTGATTGATGACAAAGGATTCTAAGTGAAATGGAGGTATTTTCAGTGAATCTAGTACTATGGTGAAATCTGAACACGAGACAACTTAAGATATTCTCATGTTATATTTTAACAGTTTAAATTAATGAAATACTAATTTGGTTAAAAGTTGAGCACTAGATAGCTCTAAGCTTGGTATCGAAGGAATCTTAACCGGAGTGACTGGTTTTAGCAATAAAATGTTCGCGATAGGGGCTGCTCTGAATAAGAACTAAAATACAAGACTACTGTGTATCCTCACTTAGAGGCATTGCAAAACCATGTAACTGGGTAACATCACTGTTTCCGACAAGATTATGTGAATGACCAGGGTAGTCAGAGTTACTGGTAAGTTGGCTGTCACCCAAAGAAAGAACATATGTCAAAGACTTAGGTTTGTGTATATAATTTATAAGGAGCATTGCTATGTTTATTGTTTAAAATTCATTAACAAAATCTAATTTGATTGATTATAAGGATGAGGACTTTGTAATCATGTGTAAAATCATTCTATATTATAAACATTTAATTAAATAAAAACTTGTCTTTATGGGCCTTGAAGTAATACTACCATGATGCATAATGTAATAGAATGGAAAAGAAATTTTATACTGGGACAAAGTCCCTTCAGAATAACAATGATAAAAAATAAAACAAAAATACATATCTGGACAAAAAACTAACTAAATAAAAATTCTAATAATATAGACAGTAGTTTAAATAATAAATAATTAATAATAATATGCAAACAACTAAAAAAAAATGTTTAATTCCTTTCAAGAATAGTTAAAGTTGAAATTGGAGAAAGGAAATCAAAAAAATATACATAAAAAGAAAAACCAAAGCCTGGAGAAAAGAAAAAAAATCTGGTGCCCACAAGACAAGACTTTCACTTACCGCTAAACATTGAATAGAAATTATTTTCTGGCCATGTTGGGCTATTATAAAATTTTTGAATTGCATTTTTAACTGAGCTAAAGCTAAAAAATTACATTGGTGATATGCAGAATAGTCGACTAGCTTCTTTCAATAAAAAATTACAGCTAACAAACCATAAACACCATTAAAATAACAAAAGATTTATTTATTTATATCATTGGTTGATTATGGATTGTGTGATCCGTTGATTATAAATTGTACGACTATTAGTTATTACACTGTTATTTTCCATTGCAAAATTTACTAAAATGGAATTAAGAGATTTGCATTGTCTGTCATAGACAGGTCAAAAGTTGTAAAACTAATTATAAGTGGATACTGTTGGAATATTACAAAAGAAAATTATATCAAACTATTCCCTAATTTAATTTTCTAAAAAGTTACATGACAATATTTCGGAATAAACGGACATTGACACCTAATTTTTTAAATATAATATCAGATCTAGATTTTAAACTTCAATTATTAAACTACACTAAATGTATTTAAACATTTACTGTGGCTTAATAATTCTAGATCTGATATTATATTTAAATAATTAGGTTTGATCAGAAACTTTTCTGGAATAACTATATCTTCTGGATTAAAAATCCATAACTATCCTTAAACAACTCTTAAGATTCCATGACTGAATTCCTCTAAAAACCAGATAACTCCTTGTAACCTCTCTTGGTTTCTCCCACTTTGACTATGGTTGCTTGGCATATGGCGGGCTGTCTCCCAGGTTAGAGATGAGACTGAAGAGATTTGACAATTGCTTTATAACATACATCTTTGGGATTCCTAGACATTCTCATGTTTCCAGCTGATGCACTGAGTTGAAGGGGCTTTATCCTACTTCCCGATGGCAATTCTTTCTTCGTGTTTTCCTTTTCCAAGTACTCAGAACCAAAAATCCTCCTTACATCCTGTTGATCTATACATCCCCTTCCATAAAACTACTTCCTTTTGGCAAATCCTACCTCCTGTTGGAACACTATACCTACCTCCATATGTCAATCCTCGTCCACTTCATATTCAAACTTCCTAAACATGTAGGATTTACTTGCTTATGTATACTGCATAATTTAATTAAATGTACAATTGCAATAAACAGTAATTTAGTTATCATTTTGTGTTCTCTAAGCCAGACTAATCTTGATAATTAAGAAACTCTTTTAATATTTTAAGGGAACTGTAGTCACAGAATAAAATTATTTTTTCATTCATTCAAACATGTCACCAAAATATTCAGCCTCATTTCCAAGCTCAATAGACGCAAGTATCAAGAAGTACATAATGATGAAGGAGTATAAGGTCTAAGGAAAGTCATTCAACCACCTAATGAATACAGACAAGAGAAGATATGGGTTGCAAGGAGAGGGATAGCAATTCAACAGAAGGACTGATATTTTTAATGGTTAAGGAATTCAGATCTTGATTTCTTTCATTTAATGGACCATGAAATACTTAATAACACAGCACCCTTATGATTAGGAAAAAATATATAGTTAAGTAATCAATTTAAGTATTTTTAAATTACCAGTGCAATAAAGTTTTCCTAGTTGAGGTGAATTGACATATGCTTTGGCCGTTTCAATAAAATCTTGGTTCTGATCAATCAGGTCAACAGTTTCGAAGTACTTTACTAGTAAATGCTTTGTTATTCTTCCAATACCAGCACCACAATCTAAAGCCCGAATTCTGTTTGGAGGGTTTTCAAACTGTAAACAATATCAATAATTACAAATTTTAATATATACATTGACAAAACTGGTAATAATTGGACCTGATAAAACCAAAGGTTTGATACCAACATCACCAACAATATTTGACTACAGCTAAACATACTCCAGGAAAAATAAATTTGGAGAGTACATCACCAAAATTTCACTTACCACTGTATTTTTAGTAGATACTATTTTCTGTCAAAACAGGGATCTCAATTAAAACTTTTTTTGAAGTGCCTTCTTAATGGAGCTAAACTGTAAAGAACACGTGAACAACACCGAACCATGGTTTATATAGACTTCATTGTAACTCTTGAGGTCCATTATCACCTACTTAAATATTTTTCTCGGTATTTCCATACAAGTGTCATCACAATTTGACGAGTAGACCAAAATCTCATGATCACACTATAAATGTGATTCTGCGAATAGCTCAGGTGTGATGTGTTCACAGTACAACGTCCCATTATTTAGAGAGTGATTTACGACTTCAGCAAACTTTCTGCTGGCCATTTTTATATAAAATTGGAGCATTAGTTAGCTTTTATTACATTGTTGCTTTCACTTGCTCTAAAGGGATAAACAAAAAGATCGTGTTCAGTTGAGGCTGGAGCCTTACTTGACATTTCAGACACACTCGACCAGTCTCTAGATTCCATTTAGGATGTGATAATCAGATATTGTGCCGCACATCAAAGTGAAATTATCCTTATACAGTAGTACATTCCCATTACTTGCAGAGCATCCAGTATGAAGTGGTACACTATATAAATTATTTAAGGGGAAAAAACAGGTGGTTAAACACGATCTCAGTCAAACAATCTTCTTATACAACTGTTGATTTAGAAACACTATTCCATAATAAAGTATTGAGCCAAAGAATCTTCATGGGCTGTAGTGGCAGTAAAGATTGTCTTTTATTGGTTTTCATTAATTCACTAGCTCATTTTTTTTTTAAGTGTTCCACACTATTATCACATATATAGTTTAAAATTAAATTATTTCAAATAAAATGCACATAGAAAAAATTCACTAGGAGCAAATAATTTCAGTTACTTCATGTCTAGAGACACAAATATCGTAATAATTGAAAATAATAAATAGTTTATTACACAATTAATGCCTAAAATATTCTATTTAAAAGTGCCATTGAAGTGTTGATAACTTGTGATTAACTGAATTTAAAGCATGTAGAAATCATTTAATGGCAATAGGCAACATACCTTAAAAACTTTTGAGAGAAATTCTTCTGAACCTTGAATGTCACAGGAAGAAATAAATCCATAACCACCAAGAACTCCATTTATAGTGGGTGAAACATTGGACCAGTATGTTTTTGCTTTACTGTAAAACACAGGTTCCTCTTGGTTTTGGCTCTCATCCTCCCCACATTCCATTTCAAAATAAATATTGTAAATGACCTTCGATTTACAAATGATCACAAGTAAGAAGACAGTAAATCATTTATTTAAACTAAGACAATAATTCTGGATCTTAAACTGGTTTTGTAAAACGTCTATTTGAAAAATTCTAACATCATAGTACCAGGTTTTGACGTTAGGTTTCTTTCTATCTACAGTTAACAAAGAGTAACTACTTAAATAGAGATCCTGAAATCATAAAAAAACCAACTTCATCAATCCAAACTTCATCAATTTTTATTTCCATTAAAGAAATTGGTTGGGGATCGGGAATCATTAAAACTACACAAAAATGAATTTATAACATATTGTACTTCTGACTGCAATCCCTAACCATCTTCTCAAATAACAATCTACAGTCAACCATTTTCACAACATAACTTTTATTTCCAGAGATCTAGAACAACTCCTCTATTACAATATAAAACCAATTGATGATGACCTGAAGTAAGAAATAATTGGAGAGGAGAAATAGGTTTTTCCCGTTCTCAGGAATTCCGAGTAAAAAGCTTACCTGTGCCTGTGACAAAGATATACAAGATCAACAAAATGAAAAAAAAAAGTATTTATGATAGTTTTTTAAAAGGTATAATGTAGGAATACAGCATTTTTGGAGAAATCGTTATCCCTTCATTAACGCCTTTCTCAAATAATGCCCGCCTTACATATGCCATCCTTTCTCACTCTGTCTTGTAGGTGACACAAAGCAAACAGATAGCTCATTATTCTTCTCCGCAATCTTCTTCTTTGTTTGTTGCATGGTGAAAAGAAAATCTTGGGTTACTTCCACTGAAACCGTACTGTTTTTCACGGAGATGACTATCGACTACTCTTCTCATTCATTTTTTTTTTCCTCCCCTTCCTCGCCTTTTAGGCTACACCGAGTTTTTCCCGAGTCTGAGGAAAATATGGGAGGATTATGCCAGAATTAAAAGTGGTCCAGCACCAGGATTTAACTCGTTATCTTTATATTATCAGGTTGCCGGGCTACGCTTATTTTACAGATGCGTTAGCGCGCTAAATCGCAACAAACCGAAATTAGTTAAAGAACCGAAAATTATATACTTTTTGAGTTATTTTCAAATAAAGTACTTAATTTGGTGATTTTCGAAATAAAATCAAAGGCTCCAGGCTAGATGAAAATTTGAGGCAAATATGAGGGTTTTTCGAGGTGCTTTGTTTCCTCTTAAACAAAATTTTAACCCACTTTACTTTGTTGGTTGTTAAAATTTTGGAGATAATTCTTATCGATTTCGATATTTTTTTTTTCATTTTGTAAATAATTTATAAAGTTTTCAAATACTCATGAGTATTATGAACTAAAAATTGTGTACTTTTTGAGTTATTCGCAAATGAAGTTCTGAATCCATTGTAACTGTTTTCCCACCTCTTTTCGAAAAAGCTTGTTATATAATCAAATTAAAATGGCTTCAACTAGCAAGCCGAATTTAATTAAAATCTCCATTTCGGCCTTTAAACACTTACATTGTTTGGCCTTTCACTATATACATTCTCTACTCAGAACTAGTGCCGGCCTTAGGGCCGGGTAACTGTTGGGGATAAAAAAAAAAGTTACAAAGCGGAAGAGAATAATTAATTTTCTTCCATTAATAAAGCAAAGACGAGCCTCAGCAACCGAGCGGGTCACAAATGGCGGATAGTGAAGCCCATCAGATATGATGGGTATCTGCAAAAAAGGCTTGCCGAATAAGCAATCCAGTACTGAAGTGATGACAGCTGAAGAATTACTCCTGCCTCTGGGTGTTGAGCGTAAAGCTAACGACTCTACCTTGTGAAAAATCACATTGTTCAGAAACCTAAGTTTTCATACTACGGAATAAAGATAAATGGGAAAAGTCTGACATTTCATTAGCCACATAAAATGTTAAGACTGGACCAAATGAAAAAAATTGCCAACCAGCTTATGAAATTTAAAATTGACGTTACTGTCTTGCAAGAAACTAGATGGAATGATAGCATAGGATAAACAAGAAAGGGTTCTCTATAATGTATATTGGTACGAAAAAGAAAACTGGTTGAGCTGAAACGGGCTTCTTTGTGAATAATAAAAAATAAAAATTTATTTTTAATTTTGAGTTGATATCAGATAGACTATGAAAATTAGTTATTACAGGTAAATTCCGGAATATTACAATATTCTCGGTATATGCACGGACAGATGCTGATGATGAGAATAAAGAAGAATTTTATACCAGCCTAAGATGCAACATCGAAAGAAGTCCTAGATATGATGCGGTGATTCTCTTAGGAGATGTTAACGCTAAATTAGGTAAAGAGGAATCGAAAAGATTAAGCGTTAAATATTCGCTTAGCGTCGAAACGAGTGAAAATGGTATGTTGCTGGTCCAATGTGCTGAAATGTATAGTCTGTGTATCAAAAGTAAATGCTCTCCACATAAGAATATCAACAAAGGAACTTGGAAAGCCCCAAATAGAAACGTTGTTAATCAGATTGACCATTTTCTAATATCTGCTTGGCATTCTTCAAATATTACTGATTTAAAAAGCATACCAGGCCCTAATTGTGATTCCTATCACTATCTGGAAATACCAGACGCAATAAACATAAAAAATAGAACACTTTTAAACTTAAATCGGAGGAACAAATCAACAATTTTTATGAAGGTATTGATAAAGGGATTGAAAATCAAGGCAAAAATGAAGAAGGAAGTGATAACATAAGAATAAGAAAAAAAAAATGGGAAATTGTAAACAGTGCTTTGTGCATGGCAGCAGAAGAGACAGTGGGAAAGGTGAAGGACAGTAGATGTAGTAAGTGGTTTAGTGAGAAGTGTGAGAAAATCAAGCTATGTAGAAATTATTACAAAGGAATATGAGGCAAAACTATGAAGGATATTGTGTTAGACTAAGAAAAGACACTGCAGTAAATATATGATGTTGAAGTAGACAAATGAATTTAAAGGTAAATACTTACTGGCCAGTCTATCAATCAATTGATTCCTGCAGTGCCTGATGCAACGCCCTGATCAAGATCTGCAAGGTGGGTTGAAATATCGGCGAAACAATTAAAAATACTATTTTTTACAATTTAGTATTGATTTGACCGCACCCCCTGACCAACTTCTTCTCACATTAGTCGTGAAATTCATGCCAAAATCATGACCGGAAACAAAGTCTGCTATGCCAACCTCAAACAACTCAAATCTCAATTGCTTCGAAAAGAAGCGAATCTTAAGCTGTATAAATCCCTTATTCGGCCAGTAGACACATATGGCTCAGAAACTCGAAGCTTGTCGCAAGAAGATTGTCAGAAGCTTATAGTTTTAGAAAGAAAAATTTATGGTGCAAAACAAGTGGATGACGAGTGGAGAGTGAGAAACATAGCTGAGGATTGATGTTTGTTGAGAAATGAAAATATTGTGAACTTTATAAAAGCTGAAGACAAGGCTGAGGTAGGCAGGATATGTGGCCAGGATAGGAGGTAATATATTGGAAAAACGAATACTGGAGACCAATTTGAACAATCAAAGTGAGTAAATATGACCCTCTTGTAGAAGAGGTTCCTCACGCCAGACTTCCAGATAGTAGAGACAACTATTGACTAGGCCCCTGGCGCCTAAACGTCTAGGGAAGATTCTATAATATGATTGGACAATGGTGTCAATGAGAAATTGACCAGAACGCTCCTTCATTAACCTGTCCGATGACAAATGACAAGACAGAAGAAGAGCCAGACGAGGCTCAATGTGGATCATCCATAAGTCAATCAACGGCAAGTTGTCTTTGCCGTGAAAGGAGACCTGCTCACTTTAAAGACTATTACTTCTTTTAATGGAGGAATAAATATAGTAACCTTATAGAATCAGATAATGAGGGCTTTAAATCACATGTTTTATTTTATAATTACTTTTAAAGTTGTTCAGTGCTAATTAGAAATGTATGTAAGTGGTCTGTTTATTAAAACCTTTAGGTCAGGTTTGTACTTTTCTTCACAACACATGCTTAAGTAAAAATTTGTGCCAGGTACGAGGTTGATCGATCCTCGTATTTCTTACGATAGGGTAAAATCTGGTATAAAACGAGGATCTTCGTATGAACCGTAACACTGATAAAAAAAATATTTATTTTATGAGAATTCTCCTACAAACAACAGCACTGGTCCACCAAACAAGTTCTTTTGTGTTGGTATACCTTCTTTTTATCAACATTCTTTGACATAACCTTTCACCTGGTTGAGGGCATGTCAAGATATAAAGGTAGTAAGGTAATAAACGTCAGTAAATTATTGTTATATTATTTTATCATCCTAGTTGTTTCTTGGTGTGACAATAACTTGTATTCTGTTGATAATTTTTGTGTTAACTTAGATAATAAATCTGTTTATAATAAACAAATTCTTTTTCATCATGTTTAGTTATATGAAAATTGTATACAATACCTAGCTTGTTAAATACAATATTATTTCTTTGCATTAGTTGCATTTTTAACTATCCACCTTTACCTAATGTTTAAAACAATATTTATGATACTGAAAGCTTATTATTGTTTTTTATTCTGTTCAAATTGAATCAACTATTAAATTAATGCATTTCTATTAATTCTTTATCTGATTGTATACTTAAAATAGAATTGGGATTAATTATAAATGAATTTTAGTATTTTTAAAAATAAATCATGTTTTGATATTTACACAATTATATTTTATTTAAGTGTTTAGACTACTGGGGTCATTTACACTGTAGTCACTTGTGGTTCAGTATTTTGTTTAAACAATTTTTTAAAAAAAGTAAAATAGTTGGCATATATACTAGATTTTTTAGTGTTCCATTGATTGAAAATTTAATTTTATTAATGCTAACTACATCCTTTTTTGCTTATCCATCGTGTCTATTGATTTGTTTCAGTTCTCAAAAAGTTGATTTTGCATTGTGCTTTATCTAGTATTTTATGACAAACTAATATTCAAATTATTTACAACAGGACTCAAATTATTCTGAGTGAAGAATTTTAGTTTTTGTTAGGCATGTTTACATTTTGCCCCAGTTTTCTATTTTTTGTTAAGCAATATTTATATTTATTATTACAAACTAATAAAGAAAAAAAGGTAAACTTCAAAATCACTTGACTATTGCTTTTAATATTACGAATTTGATTTTAAGTGTCAACTATCCTTCATTTCATATTCTATATTTTTATTAAATACCTTTTGGGGATTATAGCATTCAAATAGAGATAATTAAGTGGTTTTTATTTTAATTTCTTTATTGCCTGTGTAATAAAGGTTGTGTTTTTTTAAATGATTAAGGTCATAACTGTAGAAATAATATTTGCCTACATTGAAGAACATTATGAATTATTAACAGTAGCATTTAGAGTCTCTGTCAAAAAGTGATCATCACAGACCTTACAAAAGTAATTATTATTTCTTGAATGGTCACGATGATAAAAGCTTTTGTTTTAGAGTAGAGTAGGTCTCTATTCTGACATGATAATATTTGCCTCATATTTGAAGCTAATGGAAATAATAAATAATCTAAATCCCAATTGTCCTGATAATTGAAAATTTTCACCTACTTAGTGCACTAGTTTTCAAAAATTTTTGTCTGATACTATCATGAAATCAGAAGTTCCACTTAATATCAATTTTACACATTTCTAAAATTTTATTGAAAACAGCTCTAACCATTTTGATTAAATTCATTAAATCAATGTAAAACTAAGTGACTTTTAATATGATGTAGGTCTTATTCTCATTAATGCAGTAATTTCTCTAATTAAATGCTTAATTTTCAAAATATCTTCCTCTAAAGTACTTTTAATTTGAAATAATTAACCTTTTCACATTGTAACCTGCTATAAAAAAGGGTTAAATATAGAGTATGAAATAATTTGGTAGTTAAATAAAGGAGAAATAAGTGATTGTAATTGAGGCATAGACATAGACGGCGCAATAACCCCTTACTGGGTCTAGGCCTCCTCTAAAAGTCTCTGCCAGTTGGCTCTTATCTGTTGCTGCAGCTCTCCAGTTCCTAACCCCAAGGAGATTGCGTGCATCCGCTGTAACAGAGTAAGCCTACCTCACATTTAGCCTACCCACTCTTCGCTTGCCATGAAGCTCTTCAGCCAATGTCCTCTTAGGGATCTTGTCCTACTTTAGCCTTGCAATGTGGCCTGCCCATCGAAGTCTCCCAATCTTGATCCACTTGATGATATCAGGATCTTTGTACAGTTTTGAGAGTTCCTGATTCTTCCTCCTTATCCAGGTGTCTCCCTCTCGAACCGGGCCAAAAATTCTTCTCAATATCTTCCGTTCAAACACCAGAAGGAGGTTCTCACTGGTTCTAGTGAAGGCCCAGGTCTCTGACCCATACGTAAGTACCAGACGAATCGGGGTCTCATGTAGGCCGATCTTGGTCATGTTGGAGAGGTGTCTGCTTTTGAAGTATTTTGCTAGCCTAAAATAGCTTCAATTGGCTGTGGTTGATCTGGAATATGTCATTTTGAGTGTTTATTTCTGAGCCCAGGTATATGAAACTTTGCATTCTCTCAAATCTGTATGGTCCAACTTTGAAAAAACCTGTCCCTACCTCTGATGGTCCTATTCTCAAATACTTTGTCTTGGCTTAGTTGATGACTAAGCCAAGAATTTTTGTTTCTTGTTCTAGAGCCAGGAATGCTTCTTTTAGGGCACGCTTAGATCTGGCTGCTATGTCAAAGTCATCTGCATACCCCAGCAACTGGATCGTACTGTTGAATAAGGTGGCCCGTGTTTGGATCCTTGATCTGTGTACTGCTCATTCCACCACCAAATTAAAGAGAAGGCATGCAAGTGCATCTCCCTGTCTCATACCGATGTTTGTGGCAATAGGTTCAGAGAGATCAGATCCGATACGAACCATGACACTGTTCGACCCCAACATGATCATTCTCAGCAGACGAATCAGCTTCCTGGGTATCCTCATTTCGTCTAGCGCCTGGTAGAGTTCAGGGCGGGTTACGCTATCGTACGCAGACTTGAAATCCAGAAAGAGGTGGTGCGTAACCATCCTGTATTCCTTGGCTTTTTCCAGAATCATTCTCAGGGAGATCTGGTCCGTGGTTGACCTACCTCCAGCCTGGTAGTTCCCTATCTCTCTTTCAGCATGGGGGGTGAGTTTATCGAAAAGGATATTTGACATCACCTTGTAGGTACTCGAAAGGAGGACAATATCCCTGTAGTTGTCGCATTCCGTTTGGTCGCCCTTCTTATGAAGCGGGAAAATAACTCCTTGTCTCCAACTTGTGGCATCCTTTCTTCTTCCCATATTGTAAGGATGAGATTGTGGAATTCCTTCATAAGTCCCTCGCCACCTTAGCGAATGAACTCCGCTTGTATGCCGTCTAGTTCTGGGGCTTTGTTATTCTTTAGCTTCATAACGGCCGCCTCGACTTCATCGTGGTCTGGTGGTTCTGCATCGTTTGAGAGGTCTTCCGCCCTTCAGATGATACTGGCTTCCTCATCTGCATCGTCTTGGTGAAGGACTTTTCCAAAGTATTGCCTCCATCTCTCCCTTTTCCGTCAGGAGATTTCCATCTGAATCCTTGCAGGAGGTGACTCTCAGTTTAAAAACCGACCTCCATTCATTCACCTTCTGGAAGAATAGCCTACTTTCATGTAGAGTTCTGTGGGTCTCAACGTCCTCTCTTTTCCTCCCTTCTCCTGTTTCTATATTCCTCCTGTGATCGCCATGTGTAACGCTGAAACATCTTCTTGTATGCCTCGTTCTTCCAAGTTGTGCTTTCTAGGCAGTCATTATGATCCGAGTCGACATTTGCGCCTCTGTAGACTCTAACTCTGGTTAGATAAGGTTAGGTCAGTGGCTTCAAACCACGGTGTCCTGGCCTTTCTTGTTTGAGGTCCAAGCATCTCCTTCGCTGTATCTTTGAGAGCTTCAGCTATTCCTACCCAATGATCATCCACTATCTCGTCTCTCTCTCTCTCTCTCTCTCTCTCTCTCAACTCCTCCGCGAGTTTCACTTCCAATCGTTGCTGGTATGTTATGCACTGTCCTATGTCTTTTAGTTTGGATACATCATATTTCTGTGATGTTCAGCTACTAGATATCTTTTCGTTGATATTCGAGGGCGGATCCTGGCAATACTCAAGAAATGATCCGAGTCGACATTTGCGCCTCTGTAGAATCTAACTCTGGTTAGATAAGGTTAGGTCTGTGGCGTGAGCTAATTAAAATGTGGTCTATTTGGTTCTTGCCAGGAAACAATGTGCTGCCAATGACTAGACCTTGTGCTGCAGCAAAGTCTATGAGCCTTTGACCATTCTCATAATAATAATAATTCTCATACCTAAGTTTCGGCCCAAGGTTCAGGGCTTCATCAGGGCAGTTGTCCCCCCTCTCCCTAAGACTTAAGGTCCTATGGAAGCTCCCTACAAAGTTTAGCATATACAGTGCTGCATTATACGGTGTCGTTTAAGCTTCCAAAATTGCCAACAGAAAATATAAGAATATAAAAGTTGTAATTCTAACTGATTCCGCTTCCGTATGCAATTCACTCAAAAACATACATCGACAACATATTTCATCGTACCTAATAAATGATATAATGAAGAAGTTCATCGCTCAACATATAACAAATTTAAGGTTCAATGAGTTCCAGGTTATGTGTGTTTTTATGGGAATGAACAAGATGATATTATAGCAAAACGGGGTTCTGGAAGGGCTGAAAATACGAAACTGCCTTTACAGGAAATTTATAGATGGGAGAAAAAACACTTTATTAGTGAATGGCAGGATAGGTATGACTGGGAGTCAAGTTCGAAAGGTAAAGATCATTTCACTATCCAACCTAATGTCTCTTACGTCCATCGTTCTCTTAACACTAATGTTAAGTTAAGCATAAAAGAAATAATCTTACTTATAAGATTAAGAATTAACCATGGTCGAACAAATCGCAGCTTGACATAATTAAAATTGGAAAAATGATAAATGTACCACATGTAACTCCATCAAGAACCCATTGTACATTATTTTATTGTTCATATAAAATGCAAGAGATATGATCCAAGATATCATCCAAAACAATAGTGCTTTCCTTCAAGGGCTGGCTGATCTAGATAGAGATACCATTAAGGCATTAAAAATTTATGAAGAATCCAAAATAGATTTTTAAAAATAAATAATAATAATGTATATCTATATCTCCATTATATTTTATTATAACAACAGGGGCATTATAGGACTTCAGTGGGAGTCTTGGGCCGACAAAAAAAAAAGAAGTTCTTCTGGATCTTGGGCCGAAAAGTCAGCAAAAATAAAAATAATTATTATTTATTTATTTTTACTTTGTGAATGAACACCCCAACCAACTTCTCTTCAATATGTCCACAACAGTCAGTTATTAATCCACTATTATAAATATTATACATTGGATGGCTGTGAAAAACATATGATAATTAATTGTTTTTAATAATATTTTATACTGTCTGCAGTTTTTACTTTCACTTCCCTATGAAATTACTTATTTATGCTTAAAAAAAAAGGGTGGCCGTGAAAGTTGTTAAATGCATCCACCACACTAAATTTTTATAAATAATAACAATAACAAGAAATGAAAATGACTTCTTTTATATAAAAATATTTACATTGTCATACTTTAAAAAAGAAATCAACTGAAGAAAGAAAGATATTTATTATACACACTTTTGGTTGTTCTGTAAATATTTAGCTTTACCAAATAAAAATGTATAATAATCTATTTTTTTATTTTGTGTAATAAAATTAAAACTAATTTATTACCTTATAAAGTTATAATACCTAAAATTTTCAGTGTTAAAACCTATATTGCACTAACATTTATTTATTTTGTAACCAGTATTAAATTTCCAGTTGATTTTATTTTTTTTCAGAATGAGTGCCTTAACTCGAAGTTTGAGCACCAGAATAGTCAAGAAATTAGAAAAACCAAAGCCTTTAAAGGTTGTGCCAGGACATGTTTATGAAAGCCACATTAAACAGCATCAAGGTATATTTCATTTTTGTCAGATACATTTATAGTTCAAGATTGTTAAGTGTGTTAAAATATTGACTAAGGTGCTTACAAGCGTGAACTTTTTCCCAGTGTTGAAACTTTTTTATTGTACTATTCCACAACTCACTTGATAACAACCATTCTATCAAATCAGTTTTTTAGCTCTATTATTTTTTCATAACCTCTAAACTTGTAATTATCGTACCATCGAGAACAGTTTTTTTTTTATTTTGTATGCCGAAGTCATTGGTAATTAAACCATCCGACATCTTGCTGCCTAGTATGAGTTTGGTTATTTTATATATTCATTTCCAAATGTTTTATTTCTTATGTCCGTCAAAGCAGGACGTGAGTCTAGGTGGTCTGCATCCATTTTTGCTTGATCACATAATTTACATCTAGGATCCTTGGTCACATCTATCTTGTGCAGATGAATTTGTTGATAGTCATGACCAGTGGCCAGGCTCATAGTTTGGTGTATCTTTTTTATTCACCTTATGGAGGATTTGCAGCCCTATCTTGCTTTCGTGATTGTGGATTGAGAGCTGTGCTGGTATAAATGATTCCCTTTCTTCAGAGTCAAGCCCTCTTTCTTCAAGCAAAGCCTTCACCTTTAACATGAATGATTCTTGTGTCTTGAGCCATTGAGTTGTCATTTTGTATTTTTTCCAAAACTCAAGATCCATTCTTCTCATCTGCTCATGAAGACACATTGCAGCTTGCTCATGCCATTTTGATAGGGGTTCTGCTGTGGTCTGCAGTTCTATAGCTGCAACAGGAGTTGGGCGCTGTGCACCCAAATGTAAATGCAGTGCTTTGTTCTGCTGGCTGTCCACTCTTTTCAGGGATGCATCATCCGCAGTACAGATCACCTCAGGACCGTATTCCAGTATTGGGCATACATAGGTTTTATATGCAAGACCCATCACATCCTGGGTGTGGGTCATTGCCTCATTAATTGCTGCTTTGAGTGCTGTTATGTTGCTATGGGTTGCATATAGTAGTAGATCATCAGCAAACATAAAACAGATTCCGGGTATTCCCTTGAGCATAGCCACTAAGTCATTTATTATTATCTATCTCATCTATCTGGGCCAAAAAGGACTGTATGGCTCTGTATATTTTTCCACTTATATTAATTTTGAGGAGCTTTTTCAGGACTTTCCGGCAGACTTTGTCGAAAGCAGCTTTAAAATCAACATATACTGCAAGTGTATGTTGTTTCCGTTTTGAATCCATCTTTTACATCCTCATTAAAACGAGCCACCTGTTCAGTTGTTCATTGGTGCCTTCGGAAACCTGCTTGCTTTGACAACATCTTATTTTCCCTATCTAAATATATCTGCAACCGGGCTAAGAACATTCTCTCATAGAGCTTAGAAAAAAGACTTGTGAGCGAGATAGGTCGGAGTTAGATGGGCAAGAGGGACATTTGCCTTTCTTGAGAATTGGGATCACCTCAGCCTTCCTCCAGGCACAAGGATATCGTGACCTCCACATAGCATTGAGAAAATCTGTCACTATGAGCTTAGCTCTTGCATCCAAGTGTATAAAGAACTCTGGCAATGTGTCATCAAGTCCACCGCTTTTTCCCTTCTTTGTTTGTGCCAGAGCAAGTTCAAGCTCTTCCTTGCTGAATTCATCTTCAAAGAGTTGGCTTTCAGAAAGATTCAAATATAAGATTGGTGGCGCAGTATTAATTCTCTTATTTTCTTCTGCTGGTTTATAGTTAGGGACATTGGCAAAGAATTTACAAAAGATGCTTGCTATGGCAAGTCCAGAAAATATCTCCTTGTTATTAAACTTAAGAGGGTTGTTTCTTGGATCTTTTCCACCATTTAGCTTTGAGATGAATTTATGTGCTTTTATCTCATCTCTTCGAAACTTGCTAAATATTCTCTGAAAGCCTTTCATTAGGCTTGAATTATATTCAACTTTAAGGTTGTTGTAAGTTGTCTTAGCCTAACAATGTCTTCTGTTTTTTTTTACCTTTCTGCATCTTTTCTTGCTGCATCTCTACTTTCTTTTAGTTTTTGTAGATTATCACTCCAAAATGGAGTGTATCTCTTCATAAATCCCCGAGGAATAGATTGTTTTGCACACTCGAGAATTGCCGCCTGAAGTCCAATTTTCCAATTGGTCTTTTTTAAATTCCATCTGAGCATTCGAGAAACTGAGCACAAATTCTATCATATTTATGTCAATGAATTTCTCCACAATTTGTCCTGCTGAATTTGAATTTACGTAACCCCATCGCCTAGAGTGTGCATTGAAGTCTCCATTTACAAGAGATCTATCATCCAATGAGTTCTTCAGCCAACCCCAATTAGGTTTATTATTAGGGGGATTGTAGATTATAAATATTTGATGGTGGAGATTGCTTGACCATAGATTTATTTTCATCCCTTTCGATTTATCATTTGCATCCATTTCCTTTTTAACTTGGAACTTAGCCATTAAAGAAGACCTTACACCAACAAGTTTCCCTTATGCTATCTGCCTTGCTCTTGGCAGTGAGTATATCTGGGAACCTAAATTATTCCAGATTGTCAGCAACAGTGCCTGACTCAACAATGCAAATTTAATCAATTTTGTTTGAAATTACAAAATGCTTCAACTTAGTGTACTTTTCACTGGTGAGACCACCTGTAATCCAAAAAAGAGCCTTTAACATAAAGTTGGCAGGGCCTTGAGAAAGGGCATTTGCGTTAGCTTGACTTTGTGCTGACCGCGCTATGAGTCGCTTTTGGTAACACTGGGTGACTGGCGACTATGTGATCGTTTGGTTGGTTATTCAGGAGTACGACAAGGACGAGATCACAACACCCCCTATCAAGAACTTAACCACATATTCAAGGTCAAGCAATTTACTGTAAACTTACAACATGGAAAGTTAGTCTGAGTGCTGGGCTTCTGTAAAAACACATAAGCTTTTACTCCCAAGTATAACTATAAATTAACCTTTGTTAATTAAGCTAAGTTAATTAAACATTCAATAAAAATGCCGAGAAATCATTAATTGGAAGGAAGTTGTTTAGGCAACTTTCCAAATTTAATTAAAGGCAAATAACTCTAATGAGTTCAACTTAGGCAAAATTTGACTTATTTTGTCAGTGGTCTGTATTTTGATGAAGTAGTAGGGTATACGAATTATGTAAAATAGACTTACCCTTTTATGGTTGTGTAGACATCTTACTTAACTGAGAGGGGCCTCCAGTCTGCTTCAGTTGACTCATAAACAATTTCACAAAAAAAAAAAAAAAAAAAAAAAAAAAAACGTAGATGGTAATTACTAGGCAAGGCACAAACGAGAGGAAAATTGCTTGGTTTACAATAAAAAAAGAGAAAAAATATTCAAATTATTTTTGGAAGATAAAAAATAAAGTGACCCAGATCAAAGATAGTCTTAATAAATTACAATTCATTTAACATAAAATAATAATATTTCCTTCATTTAAATCATTATTTGATGCCTTAATTCACCATCGAAATTACACAGATATAGTCAAATTTTCCTATCTCAGGTCACTGTTAGTTCATCATTCATTTTTGCTGAAAACACAGGTACTTTTAAATGGCAGGATAAGGAATCACCGCATTTTTTTAAAAAACAACTTGAGTTTAATCTCAAATTATTTTGTAATAAAACTTAATTAATATGGGATTAAAGATTATCAAATAAGGAAGTTTTCCTAGAAGCAAGGTATTGGTAATGTATTTGGAGGGTGACAAAAATAAGTCGAGAATAATTCATAATTTTTTTTAAAAAACCTAACTTAGCTTAGTTTAGCCCCTCAAAAGTCCTTCTTAAACTGTTTTAACACTGACAAACTACTTTCATTTGAAGGAAATTATGTCTAGTTTATTGTGAAACAATTTTTCATCACTAAATTAAACATTTTTTTTTTTGTTATCGCTTCCTATTCAATGAAAAACTTTACTTTCTTTAAAAACAAAAATCTTGAATTTTCTACTTTTCTTCAGAAAATTGGACCATTGTTTATATAAAATTCTTTGTAGCTCTTAAGATCTGCTACCATCCCTTTGCATATTTCTGTCGACTTAAGGGACACCCTATATACAATAAAACATAGGTTTAGTGAAACAGTTTATAGCAGTAATATAAGAGATATATTTAAGTACAATTATTTTGTATGGTAGTATACTTATTGACTATGTTGTTCAACAACCTTCTGTCATTGTTTCTTAAGGGGATCCATTTAGAACTTGACTAGTTTTCGGTTCGAAAAGTTAAGCAATTTTCACAGGTTTTTTTTTTCCAAAACTATTCCAACTTCAAGGGAATTTCAAAGGGACCAAAACAAATTGAAATGTGAATGTTATGTCAAAAATAAGACTAAAGGAAGAATGCAACTAATTTTCTCTTTAAGCTATTTCAATTTTTGCAAGTTAATAATGATGTGTGTGTTGTGGAACTGTCATGTTGGCAGAGAACTTATATTTTGTGTGAGAGCTATTGTGCCCAATTGTAGTATTGGGCGAGTGGTGGGGGCAGATCAGATAAGATCTAAAAGATAAAATTTAATCCACACCAGCTTCCAGATGCTCTGAACCCATTCCATGCCAGCTATTCACAGAGGCATCAACTGAAGCAGATTGGAGTATACCATAGTCAATTGCTAAAGAGTGATAGAGACAGTTCAACTACTCCAGTAGTATACTGGTTCTAAAGCTCACTATCTCGTCTACTGATGTAGGAGTGTACCATTGGCGTAGGGTTATGCTTTGCTGCATAATGTATGATCCTTGCACATCAATTAAACCCAACATGAAATTAAGTTGTTATATAGTTCCAATATCCTGATCAGGCCCCTTTGGATTATTGGTGTTTTGATCATTTTGTGTTTAGTTAAGAATTCAACTGTTCTATGGATGTCAGTTCGTCAGTTGGTGTTGATGAACTCAACTCGTTGTTCTAGCAAACATGAGGAATAGACTATGGCACCGAAATCTACCAGCTCACCACAAGATAG